CAGAAGGCAACACCCACCGCTCAGGCTCCACTGAACTGTTTTGGATTGCTAGCTATCGGGGTGGGGGGCATGCAGATCCGTCCTCGCAGAGGAGGGAGAGCTTGTACCTGAATAAAACTTGGTCTTAAAGGTGCCACTGGACTGTTTTGGACTGGGGAGCTGGGGAGGGGGAGCTCTGCATCTTACCTGGCTGCTTCTTGCTCTGACTGAGGGCTGCTGGGAGCAGGAGGTGGGGCTTGTTGCATGTGCCCACCCCCTGGGCTCTTTACTGCCGGAGCTCCGTTCCTGTGTGCTCCTCCAGGAAATGACCCCTGGTTAATACCATAACATAAGCAAGAAAGATAAATCTCCCTAAGGAGCATACAGGCTAGATTAAGACGGTCTAGAGAGAGGGAAAGGAAGGAGTAACAAGGAATGAAGGTCAAGAAATGCGCAAACGTGCAGTTTGTTCGGATTTCACAGAAAGCTGATGAGGGACTTGAAGAGCAGGGCCAATGTGGCACCATCTGTATTTCAGGGGGAGAGTTCAGTGACGGTCTAGAGAGAGGGAAAGGAAGGAGTTAACAAGGAATGAACGTCAAGAGATGCGCAAACGTGCAGTTTGTTTGGATTTCACAAAACGCTGGTGAGGGACTTGAAGAGCAGGGCCAATGTGACACCATCTGTATTTCAGGGGTAGAGTTCAGGAGATGGGGGGGAAAGGAGTGGAATGGTTTGAGAGCAAATGTCTCCTCACAGATCTGTCTTCCATGTTCTTGCAGCGCAAACCCAGCGTACCATGAGTTGCTGCTAACGGTATTGTGGTATGGCGTGGTCCATACATCCGCACTCGTTCGATGCACAGCTGCTAGGATGTTTGAGGTGAGTGCTTATCAGACACGTCCTAATTACTGCATGAAGGGGAATCTGGCATCTAGCAAGGCGAGGGGGGGGGCATATCCAGCCCCTCGAAGGGCTCTTCGACTATCTCCTACGGCTGGCACCGTCCCCACCCTCTCATTAGGGTGGAGCTGTAGGAGAGGGAAGCGGTAAGCGGCTGCGAGGGGAGTGGGATGCCCAGAGTTGGGGGACTCTGAGGAGCATCTTCATCTTCCATGGGACTGTCAGTTGTGGCCAAGAGGCTGCACGTGACTTGTATGCATTGTGGCTTGGTGCTGCTGCCCTGTGCAAAGTCCCAGTAAATGCGCAGAAAACTCCCTCAGTCGTATTTCTGGTTGGATCTGCCCATGTTGCCCATGGGCGGTGAATAGGGGAGGGGGTGAACGTGTCTTGTAGACAGAATTAGTTCATGTCCATATAGGCAGGTTCTGATAAGTATGTTTTAATGTTGCATTATATCACTTGAAATTGTTTGTAACAGGTTGTGCACTGTGTGATGGAGCAGAATGTTTACACGATATAGTTTGGGTTTGATAGGGGCGTAGGTTTTCCAGCATATGTTTGTTTTAAGTATCGCTGGCTTGCATCTGCTTGCAAGATGTCGTCGTGGCAACTGGCACACTTCAGATCTCTTTTTAAGAAATCTTTTTTCTCACCTGAACATTAGATTGGCACACTTGCATGCTTAAAAACTGTCATCGTTTCTGAGAAATCATTTCAGTGCTGAATTCAGTGCTCAAACCAGTTGTCTTCTATAAATAGCTTGTAAAATAATAGACTGAACATTCATACTGCTTTAACAACAGTCAAATCTTCCTAGTAACGAAATCTGAGACTGCTTCTCTTCCCATTTTTTAAAGAAAAAAAAAAAAAAAACCAGGACATGCCCCCCCCCCAAAAAAAGAATCCCTTGGCAAAAGCATGTTCTGTTAGTCCATCCCCCATTGCTGAAACAAAAAATCTCAACTGCCAAAGGAGAGGTAAAGATCTGTGGCCATTCCTCCTCCAACCACACCATAGCTACAACCACCAGCAGAGTTGCTAGGCAGTTTTTGTGTCGGAGAGTGCTATAAGGGTCTTATGTTGGCAGGGAGGCCTCCCTGCAATTCCGTTTGATGCTAGCCAGTACCTTGGACCATTGTTCCCTCTAAGCTGAGTCAGCGTGGGCTAGCTCACCGTTTTTTAGCCTCCAGCTCACACATTTTTGTCTCAGCTCAGGAAGGATGGCTCCAGAGCCAACTAATTTATGCAGTAGCCACATCACTCGCTCACAACTTCAATGCCAATAGCTCACAAAGTAGAATTCTTGCTCACAAGACTGCATAGCTTAGAGGGAACATTGCCTTGGACACCATCAGGAGGTATTGGGGGGGAAGAAAGACAATGCCAGCGTGCCAGGCCCCACCTATCAGTTACTCCTGGGGGTTGCTGGCTGCGGCCTAGGAATGCTGGCCTCCAGGTGGGACCTGGGGACCACCCCCCCAGGGTTACAGCTCATCACCAGGCTACAGAGATCCGTTCCCATGGGGAAATGTACCCCACCGAGGTCCCTGTCTCCCCCTCCCCCTTTAAATTTTATGCCAAGTAAGTTTAAAACCAGATTGGGATATGGCACATTTAAAAGATTTGGGAGGACAGTGGAATCTGCACTCAAGGTGTTTGACCCAAATAAAAGTAGCTTTGCGGATCCTGATCGAGTCATCCCACTTCCCATTCCTAATGTCACATCCATTGGATACTTCCAATTGATACTTCTACTATTTTTAGCCAACCCATAATGCAGGTGTTAATTTCACTCAGAACCGGAAGTAATTGGTTTCAGATTTTTAAAAAAAGTAATAAACTCTACTTTCTTGCGCATCACTGTAGTGAAGATTTCCTTCTTGGACTAAAGACTCATTAACTGAGAATTGTGGGGAACATAGCATGCCGTCAAGGGTTTCCTGTTTTATTTAAACTAACCCTTTCCTCTCTACAAATGAGAAACATGGATGCTTCTAATACGCCGTCTTGAAATTGTTTAATTGGTTGGGAGTGGTTTCTCAAATTTGAATTTATCGAGCCTCTCCTCCTCCTCCTCCTCCTTCTTCTCCTTCTATCGTCCTGGGATCTCATGAGTGCTCTCTGACGCTAGACTGCAGTTCTTTCTGCTGTCCCAAGTAAGGAATGAGAGGGAAGTGGCTATCAAATGAGTCTGTGTCCTGCACGACTTTCTTTCTAGCTTTTAATTTTTATTTAGTGTCATACTAGTATTTTTTCAGATACTTTTCATTAATCATAACCTTTATAAACACAACTGCAAATTACATAGCGACAAGCATGCTGGTGGATATATCATAAGGAAACTAAACTTTTAACCTTAGAATATACATTTACAAATTAACAGAAGGCCAGGAAGTGGCCGGAAGCTTTGGTAAACTAACATGCTGTATTTTGTCTGGCTTTCCTTTCTCTCTTTTTTTGTGTTAACTGATTATATTATAACTGCATTAACTAGTCTTTCTCGTTCTCCATTGACACCAATGTGGTACTGGTTTGAACATGACCCATGCACAGTCTGAACATGAATGTTGACCTGTCCAGTGGATTTTACAGCATCAGACTGAGGTCCCTTGTTTCTTGTTGGTTGCTGGGATTCTTTCAAAGAATTCTGATCTGATCCAGCAAGAAGGTTCTTAATTGATCTTGAGTGTACACTGCTGGTTAACATAGGTTAATTGTGCCTTTAACAGTTGGTTAATATAGGTTAATTATGCCTTTAACAGTTAAAAAAGATCCTGAAAAACACTGCTGCTTACATAAAACATATTTTGATAGTTCAAACAAAATTAGACCATGTAAGACTTACAGTCACCTTATACCTGGTTTAAGTAAGTTTAAGTAACATTTCAGTCTTCTGTCAGAGTGACCTTCTTTATAACCATAATGCCCTTTAAAATAAGAATGCTGGTTCTCCGGTGTTTGATTGCTGAGAAGTCTTAACATAGTCACATTCACAATGTGAATTCTGGGATTTTTGTAGGAGTATGTTTTCTTAAGTGGTTAAGACGCTGAACTGCAGGCTGTGGAAGGTCAGTAGTTCAGCAGTTCGAGACCTGGGTGCCGCAAGACGGAGTGATCTCCCGTCTCTAGTTCCAGCTCCTGCCAACCTAGCAGTTCGAAAGCAAGAAATTGCAAGTAGATAAATAGGTACCACTACAGTGGGAAGGTAACAGCGTTCCGTGCACCTTGGTGTTTAGTCATGCCGGCCACATGACCACGGAAACGTCTTCGGACAGCGCTGGCTCTTCGGCTTTGAAACGGAGATGAGCACCGCAACCCTAGAGTCGGATTCGACTGGCTTTCGAGCAAGGGAACCTTTACCTTTTTATGTTTTCTAAAGAGTTGAAAGCCAATTATAGGGTTGGGGGTTTTTTTAAGCCTTACATTTTATTTGAGCAGATCTCTTTCTCCATATTCTAAATGAATGTTTGTTGGATGGTCACAGAAGAAAACTAGCAACAGTTCAGCAAAGTGGTAACTCCTGCTTCTTTACAGGACTTTTTCTTTTTTAGGAAAGGAGGTGCCAGAACTCTCAAGAGTTCTCAATCTGTATACTGTATACAAGTTTTCAATCTGTATACTGAAAACTCATGAACTTTTAAACATTTTAAAAAGAATTTTGTTGAAGGGGTTCCGGAACTGCATTCCGGCGCATTCCCCCAGAAAAAAAGCCCTCCTTCCTTAGAGTTCAAGAGGAGCCATTTTGATTAAAAATGTGTTAGTTTTTTGAAGGTAGTTTCAGGAAGGGTAGCCATCTGCAATAGAAGAGCTAGATTTGAGAGCATTAGCACCTCAGAGACCAACAAGCTTTTCATTATCTGACTAAGGGAGGTTTGACTCTCGAAAATGTATACTCCAAAAATGTTGTTGGACTCTATCTATTGGACTCAAATCTAGTTATTTTTGTGGGGAAAGCTGTTGAAGCCTATTAGCATTCCTCATGCACAGTCGCTGCAAATAGAACCCACGTTCTGTATTAACTATGGGAGTGTATTAATTGCTGCAGTATTTGCAATTCTGTCTAATACTGACAGTATTGGCATTTGTAAAGCTCCATCATTTACTGTGGCAGATCCCGAATAACTGTCTGCTTTTTGCACATGCTGCAAATCTCTGTGGCGCTAGAAATGCAATGGCTCTGTCGTTCCTACTAGGTCATGTGTCATTTGTCTCACAGAGACATCCCCTTGGTGGGGGAAAACTAACCATTTAGTTATAGCACTTGTTTCCACTTATAATAAGTAAAAAATGCATTGAATATGAAGTATTACATTTGGGGTTCACTGATATGTATTTTAAATGTATGTTATACATACATACATCTATACATATACACACACAATAACTGAGAACTAGGTTTATTTTCCCCTTTTGTTCTAACATGGTCAGAATTATGTAAAATAGCCCAGATGTTAAATAGCTTTAAATAGCTAAAAACTAGGTTTATTTTTTCGCTTACATTCTTACATTAAATGGCCTAGGTGTTTAATATCTTTTGCTTGTGGAATTCATAACCTTGTTAGCAATGCTCCCTCTAAGCTGTGGAGTCTTGTGAGCAAAAATTCTACTTTGTGAGCTACTAGCATTAAAGTTGTGAGCAGATGATTTTGGCTGCTGCATAAATTAGTTTGCTCCGGAGCCATCCTTCCTGAGCTAAGACAAAAATGTGTGAGCCGGCAGCTAAAAAACTGTGAGCTAACTCACACTAACTCAGCTTAGGGGGAACACTGCTTGTTAGACCTGTAGTATCTTGAAGGGAGTTTTGTAAGGTTAGAATTAAGGTATATTGTTCCCATTCAAGTCCCATTGTAATAAATGGCAGTTCTCGCAAGACCTCGTCTTCTCTCGCCCTTCCTCGGAATACGGCTCCCAAGTGTTAATTCTATTGTAGTCAACATTGATTTCCCTAGAGGTCGGGTTCCCAATCTTTTTGAGCCTGCAGGCACCACCAGAACATGGTGGGGGCATATGCTAATGAGTTATGCTAATGAGTTCCCCTAGCTCTTTTTCTACGAAACGACCCCTGGCCACCGCCTACCTTCAGTCTCACAGTGAATAGTTGTCCTGTGGCGGCAGCTGCTGTCCAAGCAATATTTTTAAAATCCAGTCAAGTCTCCAGTGGCCAGTCCAGGACCCCTGCTGGGAAAAGCCCTGCCTGGCCCGCCCACTTTCTAAAAGCAGTTGACGGGCACCAGGAAATGTGTCGGTGGGCACCGTGGCACCCACGGTCAGTGTTCCTTCTAAGCTGAGTGAGTGTGAGCTAGCTCACGGTTTTTTAGCCTCCGGCTCACACATTTTTGTCTTAGCTCAGGAAGGAGGGCTCCAAAGCAAACTAATTTATGCAGTAGCCAAACCGCTCGCTCACAACTTTAATGCCAGTAGCTCACAAAGTAGAATTTTTGCTCACAAGACTCCACAGCTTAGAGGGAGCATTGCCCACGGTCACCTCTCTGGGCACCCCCACTGTGTGGTACCTGGCCATTCCTAGCGTACCTCTTGGGACCAATGCTCCCTCTAAGCTGCGGAGTCCTGTGAGCAAAAATTCCACTTTGTGAGCTGCTGGCATTAAAGTTGTGAGCGAGCGGTTTGGCTACTGCATAAATCAGTTTGCTCTGGAGCCCTCCTTCCTGAGTGGAGACAAAAATCTGTGAGCCGGAGGCTAAAAAACTGTGAGCTAGCTCACACTCACTCAGCTTAGAGGGAACATTGCTTGGAACCCATTAAGGAAATGCCTTCCCCTCCACCCCAGTACCGAATTCACAAGCTCCTGTGAAGCATACAGCAGGGCCCCCCGGAACTGAGTGACCTTTTCTCCTTAACGATTTCAAATCATAAGAACATAAGAGACGCCAATGTTGGATCAGGCCAAAGGCCCATCCAGTCCAACATTCTGTATCACACAGTGGCCAGAAATACCAGGTGCCATCAGGAGGTCCACCAGTGGGGCCAGGACATTAGAAGCCCTCCCACTGTTGACCCCCCCCCCAAGACAGAGCATCGCTTGCCCCAGACCGAGAGCCCCTATCTATACCTTGTGGCTACTAGCCACTGATGGGCCTCTGCTCCATATGCCTATCTAATTCCATTTTGAAGCCGTCCATGCTTGTAGCCACCACCACCTCCTGTGGCAGTGAATTTCATGTGTTAATCACTCTTTGGGTGAAGAAGTACTTCCTTTTATCTGTTCTAACCCGACCGCTCAGCAATTTCATGGAGTGCCCACGAGTTCTTGTATTGTGAGAAAGGGAGAAAAGTACCTCTTTCCCTACCTGCTCTTTCCCATGCATAATCTTATAAACCTCAATCATGTCACCCCTCAGTCGTCGTTTCTCCAAGCTAAAGAGCCCTAAGCGCCTTAACCCTTCCTCATAGGGAAAGTGTTCACAACAGTGATCCGCAGGACGCCGTTGAGTTCTGTTCCTCCGATAAACTTCACAACTTGTCTAGTCTGTGCCGCCCACTTCAGCCACTTTGCGCTTCCATCGCGCCTCCTGCATATTTTATTATAAATAAAGGCACTTTTCTTCTTTTTTTTTTAGCGTGTAGTGGTATTCGCTTCTAATTTTGGTTTGCTTCTTGTGTTTTTCCTTCCTCTTGGTTGCGCTATTCCTCTCATGACACTGTGCTCGCTCTTTCCGTGCGTCACCTGTGATTCCCCCCCTCTGCTCTGCCTGCTCAGCTGTTGGTGAAGGGGGTCCATGAGACGCTGGTAGCTCAGAGAGTCGTTCCTGCTCTCATTACTCTCGCCAGCGACCCTGAAATGTAAGTTTCCTGACTGTCTTATACCTCCGGCGTCCCTCTGACCATCTGTCAAGAAATAAACCACCAGGAGAGGGCGGGGGGTATTTTTAGCACCCTAATAATGACAAACGCTGTAATGTGCGTTATTATTTTTTAAAAAAGGAAAAGAAAACTTAAGGCATAGTTAAATAAGAGTTCCGTAGTCCCTGGGAAACTTTGAAATCTGAAAAAGGGACTTGCCGCTAACCAGTGTTCCCTCTAAGCTGAGTTAGTGTGAGCTAGTGCACAGTTTATTAGCCTCTGGCTCACACATTTTTGTCTTGGCTCAGGAAGGACGGCTCCAGGGCAAACTAATTCATGCAGCAGCCAAATCGCTCGCACACAACTTGAATGCCAGTAGCTTACAAAGTTGAATTTTTGCTCACAGGACTCCAAAGCTTAGAGGGAACCTTGCGGCGCTAACAGTGCTTCCTCTAAACTGTGGAGTCTTGTGAGCAAAAAAAATTCTACTTTGTGAGCTTACCGGCATTCAAGTTGCGAGCGAGCGATTTGGCTAGTGCATAAATTATTTTGCTCTGGAGCCGTCCTTCCTGAGCGAAGACAAAACTCTGTGAGCAGAAGGCTAAAAAAAAATTGTGAGCTAGCTCACACTCACTCAGCTTAGAGGGAACACTGGCCGCTCACTGTCTTGGCTTCCCTGCCTGAGCATGTGCCGGAAGCCGTCTTCCTGGTGTTTTGTTCCTTCCACATCGAAGAGGGATGCCGATCTCACTGACGTGTTGTTGCCAGTAAATGCCAAAGCATGAAAAGAGTCCTTAACAGTGTGGTTGCCCCGTATGGGGTGACCACAGTCAGACCAGTGAGCCTTGCCTGCCCATCCTCAGTCACAGCTAACTTAGTTCTCCTTCCCATTTAAAACCGTGTTTATTGCATGTTGACTGGTTTACAGCTGACTCTCCGAGGCATGCGTGAAGCCTTAATTGACAAGCGGGTTGCTCCGGCCCTTGTCACCTTGTCCAGTGATCCTGAATTGTGAGTTTCTAACTGTGACTTTGAGTTAAGCCTTGTCTGTCTGTCTCCCCCCCCCCCCTTCCGCCTCGTTTTCTTTTTTTTTTTAGCAGTTTACCTGGTCTTATCTTTTGTCAGTGCTAGAAACTAATCTGTCTTAAAATACGAACTATGAAATGGCATCTTTTTTCTGTTTGAAAGTTTTTTAATGTTAAAGGCTAAAGAATTTTTATTTTGTTTGTATTTTTCCCCCCTAGCTCTGTAAGAATAGCAACGATTCCTGCTTTTGGAACCATCATGGAAACGGTCACGCAGAGAGAGGTAGGGGGAGACAGTTTGGTGTAGTAGTGGTTTGGAGCGCGGGCTCTAATCTGGGAGAATCAGGTTGGATTCCCCACTCCTCCACATGCAACTGCTGGTGTGTCCTTGGGTCAATTACAAGTTATTCAGAGCTGTTCTCTAAGGAACAGTCCTCGAGAGGGCTCTCTCAGCCCCATGTACCTCACAGGGTGTCTGTTGTGGGGAAGGGAAAGGAGATTGTAAGCTGCTCTGAGACTCCTTTGGGTAGGGAAGGGTGGGGTATAAATCCAGTCTCCTCCTCTTCTTCTGGGGGGTTGCCTGTTGCCGCAGGATCAGAATACCTGTTCAAGTCCATAAGGAGGTCCTCCTCACAGTTATAAACATTCTCTGTTTAGTTATTGCCTAAGCAAACTTTGGGAGCAAACTTTACTTGGAATTCATTTGAATAATGCATCTGTGGATAAGTAAGGACCCTCCCCCCACCCCACCCCCGTCCTGTCCGGTTGAAATATCTGCAGCATTAGCGCACCCAGCACACCTGCGGCCTTGGCAGATGGGCCGTTGGAGGGCTGATGTTCTCCATTGGCCCAGGGGGATCGTCCTGCTCACCAGTTTGGAGGCAAGTCCCGGGCCACAACAGGTCTCTTGGCCAGTGTTCCAGGGTTCCAGTCCAAAGTCAGAGTCCGGAGTTCAGTGGCACAGACCAGAATCATAGTCCAGAAGTACGCCAGGGTCAGGTGGCGATAAGGACCCTCCCCCCACCCCACCCCCGTCCTGTCCGGTTGAAATATCTGCAGCATTAGCGCACCCAGCACACCTGCGGCCTTGGCAGATGGGCCGCTGGAGGGCTGATTTTCTCTATCGGCCCAGGGGGATCGTCCTGCTCACCAGGATGGAGGCAAGTCCTGGGCCACAACAGATCTCTTGGCCAGTGTTCTAGGGTTTCAGTCCAAAGTCAGAGTCCGGGGTTCAGTCGCACAGACCAGAATCGTAGTCCAGACGTACGCCAGGGTCAGGTGGCAGGGTTCCAAGAGCTGGAACGAGGCACGGAACGGGCGGGCTCATCAGCAGGGCCACAGACGAGTGGAGGGAGTTCCCCTACAGGTGTTACTGGGCTCCGCATTAGGCTTCTCCTCACAAGCCAAGTCAGCCCTCCTATTCCTGAGGAGTGCTGGGGCCCAGACCCTTTGACTTATCTGTATCTTCTAGCATCTCTTCAGTAGAGGGGAGGCCTCGGACCACCAGGGGTGCACTCCTGTGGGTGAGCCATGGTCCAGCCCTAGCCGTTTTCCTCCTGAAATGCTTTGGAGGCCGTGCTGGGTATGGTCATGAGCCGCCCCCCCCCCACCATGAAACCCCCCCCCCGGGTCATGCTGGGTCCCCGAGGCCCCCGCTGGCTTCCCTTTGGGGAGGCACTGGGAAGTCCGTCTCAGTGTGAGGGTGCACCAAGGCAGGGCTCAGAGCAGGTTAGACTCCTCTTCCCATGTTAATCCAGGGTGGTCCATGACAGGAATATATGTTCAAATGAGATGGCGGCTGGATTGAGCCCTTTCAGGAATAGGTGGTTTACCCGCCACGGGCAGTGTCACATTGAACTTGGGAGACTGTGGTATAATGGTCAGAGTGTTGGACTAGGACCTGGGAGACGCAGGTTTGGAAGCCCAATTCCTGGATGGTCTATGGCCCTTCCGACTCTCTGTTTCATCTACCTCACAGGGTTGTTCGGAGGGTAAAACTGTGGAGAATGGTATAAGCCGTTTTCAGTCCTCATTAGAGAGACGGGTAAAGGTAAAGGTTCCCCTTGCTCGAAAGCCAGTTGAATCCAACTCTAGGGGGCGGTGCTCATCTCCGTTTCCAAGCCGAAGAGCCAGCGCTGTCCAAAGACTTCTCCGTGGTCAGGGCTTTTTTGGTGCAGATCTGCCCTCACAGAGGAGGGAGAGCTTGTACCTGAAGGTGGGCCGGGGGTGGGCTCTGCAACTTACCTGGCTGCTTCTTGCACCTCGTGGCCCAACTGAGGGCTACTGGGAGCAAGGGGTGGGGCTTGTTGCATGTGCCCGCCCCCTGGGCTCCTTACTGCCGGAGCTCCGCTCCTGTGCGCTCCTGCAGAAATGACCCCTGGTTGTGACGGTAAAACTGTGGAGAATGGTATAAGCCGTTCTCAGTCCTCATTAGAGAGACGGGTAAAGGTAAAGGTTCCCCTTGCTCGAAAGCCAGTCGAATCCAACTCTAGGGGGCGATGCTCATCTCCGTTTCCAAGCCGAAGAGCCAGCGCTGTCCAAAGACTTCTCCGTGGTCATGTGACCGGCATAACTAAACGCCGAGGCACACGGAACGCTGTTACCTTCCCACCGAAGCGGTACCTATTCATCTACTTGCAATGTCTTGCTTTCGAACTGCTAGGTTGGCAGGAGCTGGGGCCAGACACGGGAGCTCACTCCGTCACGCGGCACTCGGGTCTCGAGCTACCGACGTACAGACCTTCCAGTCTGCAGCTCAGCGTCTTAACCTCCTGAGCCACCGCGGCCCCCTGAGAGACAGGCAGGGTATATAAATTAAGCAAATAAATAATGGCTAGATTGTTACGTTTGGGCCAAGAAAAGCCTGGGTTTGAATCCCCACGCAGAACCTGGGAGAACGTTGGGCCCGCTCACTCTTGTGCACACGGGTATGTTTTCCCACTCTCTCCCCTCTTGGGAAAATGGGTTTTGTTGTAAGATAAAAGGAAGGCAACAAAAACTCAGCCACAGTCCCTGGGGCTTACAGTAATAGTGGCCGTGGGGGATGTAAACTGGCTGGCTGCCAGCCGGCCTTTTCACTCGACTCCCTTCATAGGTCCTGTTTTGCATTTCCAACACACAGGAGTTAGCTATTTTATTAAGCGTTCTGGAGTACTGGAGAAGGGATTCTCCAAGTCCGTTATCATGAGCATCTGGGAACAGATGGGACATTATTCATACACTGCCTGGGTCTCATTGAGGCCCCCGGGCAACATAACATCGCTGTCCCAAAGCACCACCCAATGGGGTAGGCTAGGCAGGGAGTGTGATGGTCACCCAGTGAGCTTGCCTAGCAGAGCGTGGATTTAAACCAGGGGCTCCTAGACCCTAGTCCGACACTCTGACCACTATAGGTTCAGGTGGGTAGCCGTGTTGGTCTGAAGCCATAGAACGAAGTTTGAGTCCAGTTCGCACCGTTAAGACCAACAGAGTTCAGTCCCTGAGTCCAGTGTGCACCTTTAAGACCAACAGAGTTCAGTCCTGGTTATCAGCTTTCACGTGTCTGTGCACTTTTTCAGATAATACTGGATCAATTGTCTACCAGCAGTGATAGCCCTGATCAATGTTCCCTCTAAGCTGAGTTAGTGTGAGCTAGCTCACAGTTTTTTAGCCTCCAGCTCACACATTTTTGCCTTAGCTCAGGAAGGAGGGCTACAGAGCAAACTAGTTTATGCAGTAGCCAGATTGCTCGCTCACAACTTTAATGGCAGTAGCTCACAAAGTAGAATTTTTGCTCACAAGACTCCACAGCTTAGAGGGAACATTGGCCCTGATATGTCTCTATTTATTCAAACATGGTTCCTTGTGACTGATTTTATCTCTATGAATGAATAGCGTCTAAATGGTTCTTCTCCTATCGATATATTAATGTTATAAACTCCTTTTTTTGTTATGCGAATATATTAGTTCTATATTTGTCTCAAAGATTTATACGTTTTCTCTATTTGATGATTTGCAGACTTTAGTCATCAGAAGTATCGATGCTCTAAACCCGTGTTTAAATGCCAGAATATACTCATTCTGTACTTGTTTTGTAAATTTATATGTTTTCTTTGTTTGGCTTGGCTTACAGATTTTACCATTACTATTTCTGTTAGATGTATTTTTATGCTACTTTGTATTCTGATTTTCTGAAAATAAAAATTTAAACCAGGAAGAAAAAAAAAAGATAATTTGCATGCACACAAAAGCTTTATACCCCATAATCAGACTTTGTTGGTCTTAAAGGTGCCGCAGGACTCATACTTTGCTCTATCCACTAGTCCATGCTGGCTGCAGCTGACTAAGTTTCTAACGGTGGTAGTTCTGCGGAGTTTGCATTTTTGTAATTTCAGCCTGTTCCTGATTTCTAAAATAACATACTTGAGGAAACTGAACTAAGAATTTTGTTCTGACTCATACCAATCCTGAATAAGTAATAGTAGGGTGGTTTAGAATTCCTGGTTATACGGTTGTATAAATTCAAGTTCCTCATTTTCTTAATGCGTGCACTTTATACCGGAGAACAAGATGTGCCTTTTGAGTGCAGAGGATCGAAACAATCAGGAAATTTATTTAACTGCACAAAAATTAAATGCTGGGGGCGGGGGAGTATCTGTTGAAAGGTTGCTTGCTTATGCAAGTGTTCACTTAAAAAAAATTGCTTATTGTTGTAAATCTCATGGCAATAAAAAATGTTGCTACTTTCTAGGTTTTCCCATCTGATAGAAGACGAAGCTTTTACAGTTGTTCTCCTAACATTTAACTCTTGCATATGTTTCTACCACATTTCTTCTTAAGCTGTTAGAGAGAGTTAAAATGCAGTTGGCCTCTTTTCTGGAAGATCCCCAGTACCAAGACCAGCATTCCTTACACACAGAAATCATTAAAACATTTGGAAGAGTCGGGCCAAATGCTGAGCCAAGATTTCGAGACGAATGTAAGTTTTTGATGCGAAACCAGGCCATCCCTTCCTCTGTAGCTGCATCCCCCACCCCGGCCCATCTGAATTATTGCTAGGGTTGCGAGCTCTAAGTTGAGAAATACCTGGAGATTTGGGGGGCGGAGCCTGGGGAGGGCGGGGTTTGAGGAGGGGAGGGGCCTCAGCAGGGCACAATGCCACAGAGTCCACCTTCCAAAGAGGCCATTTTCTCCAGGGGGAACTGATCTTGATTTCTGGAGATCAATTGTAATAAAACCCTAACTATTGCACCTTATTCTTCCAAGCTTCAGTGAATTGCTTATGCGTTTTATATTTTCCCAGTTGTCATTCCACACTTGCATAAACTTGCATTGGTTAATAACCAACAGTCTACAGATTCAAAAAGACTGGACATCGCAACTCATCTCTTTGAAGCGTACAGCGCCCTCTCCTGTTGTTGTATCCTTTGTTCATTTTGAGAATTCGTATTCTAAAAGTATCCCGAGGTCACTTAACAATAGCCAGGCGTCAGTACTAAGCGACCTCTGGTGTGTGGCTCTGAAAGTTCTGCCGCTAGAGAATCCAGTTACGCCCAAGTCTGTCTGTATTTCATCGTTCATGATTTGTTCCAGAAGAAACTTCGGGTTTCATTTTGTTGTGATGACTTTGAGTTGGGTTCTAACTGCTGCCAGTGGAGGTGCACATCTTTGTTGTTTCCCCCACACACAAACACACATAGTAGTCCTGAGGCTGAACATACCCCCCCCCCGATGCAGATTCTTGGGACCACAAGACTTTCGTGGAAATTAATAGCCATGTGGGTGGGAGAGGGGCTGCAGAGGATGGGGGTGAAGGGGACAAAACGGCTTCTTCCTCTTCCATCAGTGCAACTCTGCTGGCCGAAGAAGCAGGAAGGACATTTTCACCCCTCCCCACTGTCCTCCCCTCCCCCCCCCAAAAAAAACCCCCTGTATAGCTATTAATCTCAGTGGGTCTTGTGACTTCTGAGAGAAGTAAATGAAATTAAAGGGGGGGGGGGGAATCAGTGTGTAAGCATGAGCCTTTCTTCCTTTTTTAATTATTTTTTTTATTTTATAATTTTCATATAACACTGTAAACAAATATAAATCTTGCTACAAATAAATTGAATATACATTTCTCTCTCTGATATTATTAGATTTATGGCAGGATGATACCATACCCGCAATAAGGAAAGATATTGATGGCTGCCAAAGCAGTAATAGCTAGCAACTGGAAAAGCAAAAATTCACTTACCTTACACCAATGGTACATGAAGGTTTGGGAATATTACACACTAGAAAAAAATATATATCTCTATAAAACCTGAAATAACAACCAAAAGACATTCCCTATTTTTTGCAAAATGGTTAGATTTTATAGAATTTTCACGGCTGAAATGACGGTTGTGTAGTGTTCAGTGGACGTTAAAGCCAGTGTGGGGTTATGGCCAATGCTCCCGCTAAGCCGTAGGAGTCTTGTGAGCAAAAATTCAACTTTGTGATCTCCTGGCATTAAAGTTGTGAGCAAGCGATTTGGCTACTGCATAAATCAGTTTGCTCTGGAGCCCTCCTTCCCGAGCTAAGACAAACGTTTGTGAACTGGAGGCTAAAAAATTGTGAGCTAGCTCACACTAACTCAGCTTAGAGGGAACACTGGTTATGGTGTAAGACTAGGATCTGGGAGACCCAGGTTCGAATCCCAGCTCTGCCATGGAAGCTTGTTGGGTGGACCTTGGTCCAATCACACACTGTCGAGTCTAATCTACCTCACAGGATCGTTGTGAGATTAAAACGGAGGAGAAGAAAACCGTGTAGGCCGCTTTGGAGTCCCCATTGGGGAGAAAGGCAGGGTATAAATTTATTTCTTTATGTGTGTGGTTTTTTTATCCTGGCCTCCCTCACCAGTGCACTCAGGGCAGGTCACAATAAGGGATGAAACAATTCAGCATAATTCCAATAAAATCTGACCAATTAATTTAAGAAAGATGGCAATCCCGAAAGGTCCCCGATACTAGGTTTATATTGCCTGCTGGTTCAAGGCCAAGGATGAATAGAGCTACTGCAAATATGCAAGCAATACTTAATAATTTTACAGTAAGTACAAAATTATAAATCTCACATTTACAGTAATATTATGTTTTTACAGATAAATAGATGAAATAGATGGACGAAACTCCCCGGAGCTGATGTTCCGTTTCGCGGCAACTTCTTCACACATCAAACCTCCTAAAGACGTGCCTTCACACGGTCACAGTCCTCCAATTGGATATTTCTTAGCTCCGGGGAGTTTCGTCCATCTATTTATCTGTAAAAACATAATATTACTGTAAATGTGAGATTTATAATTTTGTACTTGCTGTAAAATTATTAAGTGTTGCTTGCATATTTGCAGTAGTTCTATTCGTTCTTGTCATTTTATACCGCAACCCCTCTATCAGTCTACTATTGCCGGTTCAAGGGCGTCAAGGCATACTGGCGGGTGGAGCCAGCTCACCGCCTGTGGAGCAGGGATAGCGGGAACGGGCAGCATGACGTAAGTCCGTACCTTGGGGAAGAGAAGGGGCTGTGCGGGATCCAGAAGTTTTGTCCCCTACCTACTGAGTGTCTTTTCCAGTTCGCCACGCAAACTTTTTTTTTTTCATTTTTAAAATGTTTATTAAGAGGAAGTATAACATATCGAGAAATATAATAACTGCAAAACAGCATACAACTGTCCTGAGAATCCAAAATTACAAACCAACCAGTTAGTCATCAATACAGATTTTTACAACATACATCAACAGTCATAACAAACTAAGTTAGTACTAAATCTGATCACCTATACATAGATGCTATGTGAGCTATGATTCCCAAGTTTAAAAGATGACATCTTCAGGAGTCTGCTGCTCTGATTCACAAACTTTGACAACTGTTCTTCTGTATCTGATGACATCCTTCATTCATTCATTCATTCATTCATTCATTCTGTTCATACCCTGCCCTCCCCGCCAAAGCAGGCTCTTCTACTGATTCCTTCCCCGGGCTTCCCATTTTAGTAACTGGTGTAAAATCTAGTTTATTTATTTATTTTTGGATTTCTATCCCGCCCTCCCCGAAGGCTCAGGGCAGCTAACAACGAGGCACACATGCCAGAATTAAAACAGATAAAACAGTCTAAAACCATAAGACAATACAGTACAACAACAAGGTGTCAGTGCAAGATGGGGTAGAACTTCCTCAAATGGTATTGGTCCCACAACCTGTCATCCCCCTCTCCTTCCAGGGTCACCTCGCACCCAGATGGAACCACATATTAGTGGTCGTGGTGCGATGCTGCAAACATATCGGTGGTGGAATTGAAGTGGCGGGGGGGCCTCCTCCAAA